CAATTCTGGATACGAAAGGCGTTGTAAAACCCATTTTGAATTAGAATTCCTCTCAAGACCTTCCAGACATCTCCAAGATGGTCTGGTCACTCCAGAATGTCACGGTCACGCCTCAGAAGGCTGGCTAAAAGACAGAGAAATGAAGACCTCCAAACTCCTCGTTCGCTGTCGACTCTCAGGGCAACTCCATCGGCCGAGGAAGAGCCAGCTGAGCCAGCTGCATGCATTCCCGCTGTTTCGTCATGACCCATGCGCCTTATGGGTTTATAAATAAGTAGATGATGGAGGGATGATAGAGATGGAATCCTATTCCCGCCTGTGTACTTAGTCATTAGGGCTCGGAGGTCTAAGGTGTCCTACCACCATCACTGGATAAGCGAGGAAGATCGATGGAAAAGGAAGAAAACCGGGGAAAGAGGAAAGGGAAAGGAGAAAGAAAAGAAAGATATTAGGAAAGGCAGCCCCGAGAGATTCCCTCCTTGCAGCCTCATGAATCAAGAGAGACGAGCTTCCCCTCATCTCCTCATCCCCGTATTTGATTTCCTTATCGCCCTTTCTTCCTCGATCAAGGCCTCTGACCTTGATGCACCTCGAAGAAAAGTGCACGCAAGATTCCTCATCAAGCCTGCAATGCCCTCAGTTTTTTAACATGCCTCCAGCACGCGATAAGTACTGATTTCAATTAGTCGGCACGAATGCCCCACCAGGGACTTCCAATTAAGTCGCGAGAATACCAAGGTTAAAGACAGAAAAAAAAAACACCCCAGGAAGAATGGGAAATCGACAAAGCTGGCAGCAAGGAACCTTTGCTTGCCCTTTTCATAAAAGCTTCATTTTCTGCAAAACTCATCAGGAGTCTTGCCAGCCTCCCAAGCACTTCAAATCATCAAACTTGCATGTCCTCATACTTCCCTTTCACGTCCCTCTTTCAGGGAACGAAATTCATTGACAACATCAAAACAAACCCGGACGACGATAATGACTAAACTACATTAATTGCTCCCCCGAGCGCTCGATGGAATCAATCATCCAAACAAAGCCCTCCTCATCGTTTAGCTGGACGGCTTCAGAGGCCTTCCATTAATCGATCCGACGGAAGGTTCACGCCATGAATAGACGATATAAGGATTCCTTTTCCCCCCATCTGCCTCCTCTTATCGATGCCAGAGCTGCTCTCGAGGCGGATTTCAATGGAGATGAGACCCAAGTCAAAGATCAAAGAAAATGGAGGGAAAAAAAAAGAGATTGACGTCTTTTGCCGTTCAGTCATCCGATACCCCCCTTCAAAACTTTCCACATTTCTCATCCGGCTCGCAAGAGGAGATTTAAAGCGAAGACCCAGCCACGAGAAAAGGAGATGAAGGCAGGGGGCGACGACAGAGATAAGAGAGGCAGTCCCATCCAGGCCTTATCTTGGATGTAATGAAGGAGAGATAGAGGAGAGGGAAATTACCAGGCCCGTCCCTATGATAGTTCGGCCTCCAGGCATCTCCCTATATATAACCTTCATGTCTCCTCTTGGCATATACAGTACGTATAACTAGGGACGCCGAAAGTGAAGCATGCGCTGATATTTCACGAGGGATTTCACGAGAAGCGAGACCTACGTTCATTGCCGATGCTCCTCTGCTCCGGAACGTTTATTGACTCAGCTGCGAGGATCTCATAAAATGTTCGGCTGGCTGCTTCCAGGCTCATTCCTCTTCGCGTTTTCGGCTTCTCCATCCGTTAAAAGGGACCTCATCTCGTGCAAGGGGCAAAAAACCGTCCACACTTCAACCAGACTGGCTTCAACCTCTGCTATCCCATATGGACCATCTCTCGATCAATATGAGCAACCGAGCGTTTGAGCATGAGGGATAACATTCTCCGGGCCAGAAACAGGAGCGCAAGGAAAGTGAAAACAAGGAAAAGAAATACGACTCTTTGTAGGATAGACCTCCCCAGATGTTATGGGCAGAATGCAGAAACGTTTTAGTTAACGGTCCTTTATGAATCCATGAACTCCCACGGAGAAAAAGAACTCTTTAGCTTAAAGGCCCTTTTATTTCCCCTAAATGAAATTTAAGCATTCGCGGCTAAATTGATGGGAATCCCTAAAAAGCGAGCGTGCGAGGGACGTTCCCCCCGTGGGCTTGGTTGATCTGTCATTCCGGTATTCTATTTCGCGATTGGCAGTCCTTGCCGTGGCCCTCGCGCCTCAGCCACCTGTATGTCACCTCGTCCACGTGGATTTACGGGCTTTCCATCCCTCTCATTCGCCCATTTCACACTTTCACTACACTGCCAATTACACTGCAGGTGACGAGATAGTTGTCTCTTTCATTATGTAATGGAGATAAACGCTTCTCATTGAGCTTACAATCCCTGCGTCATTCTTCCATACGAATGACAGGGTATAGAATAAGAAAAGAGGAAGAACAGAAAGTCAGCTTCCCCTCAGCGTCTCCGCCAGGATCAATTCATTGACCGCAGGATAGACAGACACACAGACAGACAAAGGAGCACGTCACACAGCCAATCCAACCTTATCCGCTGTCCGGTCTCAAACAGAGAGAGGAGGTAAAGGAACCCAGACGTAGAGGAAGACAAAGTAGGACGGCGTCGGGGAGGAAAAGAGGAAAATAAAGAGGAAAAAGCCACCAGGGAATTAAGGTCCACAGCGAGGTAACGAACCATTTCTCCAAGGATTCACCTCCATCCCCTTCCTCTAGGTATCGTGTCCAAAACCTCGCTCTTTCCTCCTTCGATATCGATCCCCGATATGACATGGAAAGATTTCTCCCCCGTTTTCCGCAGGAAATCCGACTTGGCATGAATGCAGACGTGATGGAGAAGCCGAGAGAATCGATCAGAGTTCCCTCGCGTGAGGAGAGACCCCACCAAATGGACATACACCGAATCTCTAGCGTGAGAAGGTAGAAAAGAGCATCTCCACAGCCTAGTGATAAGATTTCTTCCCATTCATGCCAGAAAGTGCCAAAGGAAAGGAGAAAGAGAAACGAGAGCTGCAAGATCGATGATATCAGACGAGCAACTCACAGAAATAAAAGAAGGAATGGCCCATATGGACAGAGTCCAATCCAACAGCTAATTGCCCTCCAACGTCTGATTGCCTCCCTCGTCGACATCAATTCACCTCGTCCTAACGAACCCTTATTGTGTCTCCTGTCAGGAAAGGTAATTTGAGAAAATCGGCCAGCAGGATTCCCGGCTCAGTCCCACCGACGCAAATAGCTATACGACTCCCGCAGCGATCCGATAACATCGACCGGGGGACATTCATTACATTACACAGATACTTTACACGGACTCGCGTGCGCACATCTTCCCGAGGATTACCATTTCACATGAGACATCTCCTGCTTAAGGGGAATAGGAGGGCCCGCTTTTCCGTGCACAGGAGGATCCTTTCCCATGTGCAATAATAAAGGGTCACAGAGTGACCTCGTCTACCATACTGGGATGAGGCCCTCGCGTGCTCCTCATCCACGGTTATTAAGCAGTTCTCTGTTTGCACTGGACGATCTCTCGTCTCGAGGCTCCATGTTTATTTTTTTCCGCCTTTGGGGAGTTCGCGTGCATCGGAGAAAGGAATCATCTGAGCTTATGCATTTATTATCACGACGTCGTTCGCCCTCATTCTTTATTTACACCGAAGCGATGCGGACGGAAGAGGGAAAAAGGAACTGGTCGATGAGAAAGGACAAAATCTTGCTTGCGCGGGAATTAGTACTGCAGTCGCAAAAATTGGGAAGCTTGATGTCACATCTCAGACGGGAAAAAAAGGGGTCAGGTCAGGTCAGATGACCTTAGGGTCCACGGAAGGGGCCACTCCTTCCATCCATCGTTCAGGGAAATGTGCATGGGAAAATCCCTCTCTCCTAGAAATGTTTTGGGGGAGCTCCACCTCACAGAAAAACCTTATTCTAAATTAAATTCTTTTCTTCAAGTAAGGCCACGAAATTGGTCGATTAGTTGAACCACAATTACCACAACTTTGGCCTTTTCTTGAAGAGTCACTTTTAAATATTAACAAAATGGAGGAATCAGCTGATCATGGATGTGTTCAAAAACTCCATAAAAGCGATGGGAAAAATTGTACTACCCTAAGTTATAATCCAATGTATGCTTAATTCTTCTGTAATTTTTCCTTTTTTTCAAAGGAAAAAAAAAAACATTTGAAATCCAGCAAACCTTTAATGTCCACCCTGTCCTTCAGGGTGAAAATTTTGAAAGCGCTCTTCCCCTGTTGTTCTTTCACAAGTACGAATTACAGAACTTGAACGACATGAACAGTACATAAATAAACAGAAGAGAGAAATTACACAGAATTTTCAATAACCATGCAAGGGCGTCTGCCATTTCTCCCGAATCTCAATTACTCCATTTTTTTTTACAATGTAATTCCAGATTTTTTAAGGACTCTAAATCTAAGATCCATCACGGAGTTCTAATTCCTTTTGAAAGTTCTACAGTTCATAATACCTTCTAGAATAGCTAGGCAACTGGGAAACAAAGTGACTTGAGTTCTACATGTGATTTAACCCCCTTGCACTAGTATTTTTTTCCCCAAGTGTGTTCGCGTTTCACGAAAGAACGAAGTTATTCTGAAAATACTTCGTGCCCTCTATGAACAGAGGAACAAAATTTAGTCGTTTTCACGAGTCTATTCGTTATTGCCAGCAAAGAAATGGGAAGTCCCGTTGACGAAATAAACTAATCTCATGAACGTTTTCGCCCGTGTTCCGTTTGACGAGTTATCTCGTCAGAAACGCCAAGGAGGTTAAAAGAGTTCTACAATTGAAAACATTGACTGTAGGGCTGATTAAAATAATTATTTTAAGGCATTGGAATGTATTCATTCTTTTCCCGCGGTCCAACGCATCGTAAATCTAACATCTAAGTGAAAGGGTCCGACTTCATGTGCAAAATGTTGCAATCTCAGTGACCTTAAACTATCACCGACAACATTTTAGAATCGAAAGAGCTAAACTAACCTGAAAAAGACCAAGGCGGTCGAGCGACACTCGTGAGAGAATAGCTTGAAGAGCGCAATCGAGAGCAAGGCGGAACTGGACTGAGAAGGAAACTCTGGTTGACAGGGTTGAGAGGAGACGCCCGCGGCCGCGCTTGCCCCATTCCGGGTCAAGCCGGGTTCCTCATCACCGGTGTCTCTTTAATCACCTTGTGGAATGGATCTCGGTGATAGCATCGAGCGCTGAATGAAGACTCGGGAAGCGAACAGGGAAGGAATTGTTGGGCTTCGATCCAACTTTCCAATAGACTCAGAGGCCAAGTCAATCAAGAGCACGTCAGTGCCATTCTTCCATCCCCTTTTGTCTATGTGTCTGTTCGTGAACAAAAAAGGACGTGGATATGGAAATGCTCTCGTTTCACCATCCTGAGACCATGTATGTCACGTGGACTACTGGATCCCGGGGAAATGGGATCCATTCTCGCAGCTATAAGGAAAAATAGAGACAATCACTCGTTTATATCCTCGCGCTTGTCTCATTTTTCTTCCCATCCCCTTCCACGTCCCTCTTCTTCTTCTCGGTCTGATTCTACAGACAGAAAAATTCGTCTCTCTCGCAGCTGTCGGGTTTTTTCGTCCTCAAAAGACGTATCAATGTCCAGTGCAATCAGGGGAGATCTCCAGTCTAGAGGAAGAATCCCCATATCGCTTTGTCATCATTAGGGTCCGTGCCCCTCCCCTCGATCAGATCATTAGGGATAAGAAGACACTGCATTCACCTCTTCTTCTGAATGGACATGCGACTACCCTATCGCGACATCTCAATGAACATAACCCCAGCGTGGAAACTCGTCTAGTGCCGTTCCTTTAAAGGGAATGCATAATGGGACTGTCTTCGACCGTTTCCTTTTTGGACTTGCATGGGTTTGGAACTCCCATCTAGGCGGTCGATAACTCATTAGAAAGTGAAGGAGACTTCCAAGTGCCTTTCGGGATTTCTTTTCCATCCGCATACCCCGTCCTCAATTAGATGACGTCACACTTAATTATGGAGGCCTGTCAATAAGCGAAAGCTGCGAGGCAGGAAAAGAATACGTTCTGGCGACATGAAATATTATGTCAAGGCAGAATAGTATTGGGCTTGGGTTAAAAAAAAAAGAAAAAAGAAAAAAAAAAGGAGCTATTTAGGTGAAACTCAAAGGATGGTCTCAGGGGAGGGATGAAAATGTGCATTTCGTGACAAGAGTAAGAAAAAGAGTTTGATGAGGGAGAAAATGTGTTACTGATCTCATGCTCATTGCTTTTGCAGGCAGGTCCTGTCCATTCCCTCGCCGGACCCAAGCATAGCCATCATAAGAAATCGGAAAAAAGGCGAAGGGGGGATGGGGGAATTTTGAAGAACATGGTCTGCATACTGAGAACGTGCTTCTAATCTATTTCCTTCTCTCTCTCTCTCTCTCTCCCCCCCCCCCCCCCCTCACCCCCTCCCGGCAGAACTGTCTAAAGCCTCGTCCACACCAGAAACTTCTCTCTACTACTCTGCAAGTCGACTTGAAACGAAAAGTTTATCGAATACGACTTTGAAAGCTTAATTGGAAAGATTTATCTTTCAGACTTCAAGATCAGACTTCTCATCTTTTCAAACGATTTTCGTAAGTAGAAACCCAGCCCATTTTTCTCACTAGGCGAAAGACTGCGAGAAGACTGGATATTTGACCAAATAATACCGAAATTAAGAGTGCCAGGAACGGTGCAGGAGTACAGTACAGACAAGAGGTTTTGGAGGCGAAAGCCTCAGCCAACTCCTCATGTAAGCCATAGTAATGACGGTTCTCTGAATCCATTTGATGAGGACAAGCTCGGAGAATCAAACGGGAAGAGATTAGGGGGCTATCATCAACGGGAGGCTGAAATTCTCCTCTCACGCAGACGAACCGAGTTGTAATAGGGTCTCAGGCTTCAATATAACATTCGATTGCCAACCAGAACTCCCACGTTCTTCTTTCACTGTACACGGTATCGATAACTTTCCATTTAGGGCTCTATCTTTATTGTTTCACTTTCTCGACTCGCTCGCACCAGAAAGTTCTCTCACAAAGACATTGAAAGGATTAGAGCTTCGAATGAAAATTCCCAAAGATTTCTATCAAAGAAAGGGTCGCACCAGCATTTCTGAAAGTGACACATTCAAGACTGAATCCTTCAAGCACAAATAACGCGTGGCAGTGGCACTCACAACTGTTCTTTTGAAGGAAAAAATTCTCGAGAGCATCATCACCATCAGCATTCGGGAGCGAAATTTAATGCATGCGTCGCACAGGAGAGCTTCATTGTCCGGGTAAGGTTGTCAAGATTTCTGCTCATTCGCACGGGTTATCCCAATAAGTACATTCGTCAACGAATATGACGAACTGACAGCATATGAAACAGAATATCTTAACTTCATCTTAGACAGGGGTCAATTAGGCATTCACTCTGAGGGAGGAGTCTTGCTTGCCTCAATTCTTTCCACATGTATTTTTTTTATATGGATGCGCGCGTGCAGCCTCTCTGTATGTCATATGGGAAATAATTTCATATTACATGGAACAGCTCACGCGATTTTAAAGCAAAGTTTTTAAAAAGAAAAAGGTGGCTGCGAAGTGGACCTTCACATCTCCAGACAATTGAACAAAAGCATATAATGAATTTGCGCCCATCTAATTTCGAGAGGCTTCAAAGAGAAAGTAAACCATTCTTGCAGCAAATCATGCAGCCGATGAAAAAAGGGTTCACTCATTTGAACCAAAATTAAGACACCAAAGAGCTGAGTGAGGACCACCAGATACCCCAAGTTCACGAAAAGTAATTCGAAAATTTCTGCTCTAAAAGCAATGTACATAACTTTTTCGACATTCATTGAATAGACTATACCGTTTCCAATGGCCCTGAAGGTAAATGAAAATCATACTTCTTCAATGTGATTCTCAGGCCTTCCCGCAATCAAGTTTCCCCGCACCTTCAGAGGTTAAGATCGACGTGGGATAAATAAACATTCCAAGAGTTAAAAGGCAAACCGATGAGCTGGGGGAGAACAAAGCATCTAAAAATGCTGCTTTCCTGCTCCGTCTTAAAGGTTTCCTTGTCTGGCATTCATATCCACATGTCAATACTAATTTCATCTCATTCCATTCCACCATGGCTCCAGTACCAGAAAGAGATAAGAAATAAACATGCATATAATGCATGATAATACAAATTCATTTCACTTGGCAAGTATCCCAGTGAATCGAGTTTTGCAAATTACGAAATCCACTCCAGCAGACCTTACCGATATAAGCTGTTAATGCAACAAAAGAAGTGGATAGGAGTGGGCGTTGAGAAGGATCAGCATCTTCCTCAATGCTAGTATATTTTCTTAACATGAATACGCACAGTGGTGGTAGGGTAAAAAAAAATGGAAGGGAAATGTTCTATCGCACTAGGCCGACTCCTTTCATTAGGACGAAAGGTGGCTGGGGTTGGCCAGATTCGATCGGGGATGGGAATTAATCTTAGATCCCGCTTGCTTGAAAAATATGATAGCTAATTCTTGACATGAAAATTGGTGCGGCGAGTGGAGTGATTCAGCTGAGCGCTCGTATAGTGGGCGCGTCCTGGATCCAAAAGAGAACCCAGCCAGCTGAATGCAATCGTTGTATGAGATGGTTGCAGTGATGGAAGCAAAGGAGGAACAAATATGGAGGGAGGAAGGGGACCGAGAGGAGAGGGAATAGAGGGGTCTACTCTTGCTACATGTTGCCCCAACAGAGAAATTTATTTGGTCTAAATTATCCTCCCTGGGTTTCTTTTCGAGGGTCACTCAGAAAGGTTTGAGATGCGCAATAATGCGATTGTGTAGAAATTCAATCACTGAATGAGGTTGGAAAATGTATCTTTTCTACCATTGAGAACAAGTTTCCAACTGATTCAAGCAGAACTTTATTTTCTGTAATTTTTTTAGTGAGGAATTTAGGCGTTCGCTCAGAGGGCACAATGAAACTGAGCAGAAAGCACTTCTGCGCCGTGATCAGAAAAGTAGTTTAAATGAGGCGCAGTGTCCTGCCTGTTTGAATACTGCCTTTGGGGACAGAGCACCTTCCAGTACCACAGTTTTTTGCTGGTTAGACGAGTTTAAGAAGGAAGAACCAGCCTCGAAGATGATCCTTGCAGTAGAAGACCTGAGACTGGTTTCACCAAAGCAAGCTTCCAGAAAGTGGAAGCTATGGGACTCTAAATTAGATCAACGATGTTCCTAATTCCAATATTGCTTGCTTTTCATCTTGACCATAATTGTTAGGATGAGTAAAGACTGGAGATAGTAGTAAGTGATAATCATGCACCATAACGCAGAAACAATACGCAAAGAATCTGCTGCCATAATGAGTGAGAACTCACAAAAAGGTTAGAAGGGAGCCAGTCCCAGAATGACAGTGGCCATTAAGTCCATATCGGTATTCGGAGCAGAGTAGCTCCCAAGCCACAGAAGGTAGAGACACAAATTCGCCAGAGGCACAACACGATGGGAACTCTCCTTTTCTTTCAACCAAGCTCTTAGTCAATATTTGAAGTTATGCATCTCTGGGACGCCTCCGCTGATATCCTCGAAACGTAAGTCATTTTTTCACGGGGATAATCCCTAATGGCGATGCATAATTTTTAACTCCAAGCATTACTACCCTCCACATTCAAAAAAAATTTTTTTTTAACAGTTTAGCGCAAACGATACGCACTCATATAATTATCGATAAGTATTGCCACTGTGATGACCTGATGTATGGAATAAGTCCCTCTTTCATGGGGACCATTTCAAATACTGTTATTTCCAATTGCAACTTCACGTGCAAAAACTCGTCCGTACGAAAAATCAGGATTAGAGAGATGCGTTCCTTGAATTAAAATAGTCAAACGTAACAGAATGAGAGCCCATCAAAGCATCCCTGCATGATATTTAAAATCCACCAGTTTCATGGAGCACCTTGAATATAGAGAAGGGAAGCTTCAGGCTAACCCTTAGCCTTTAATTAGCAAATTACCTACTGGTGCAGCTTTCGTTGAAATTAAAATTTTAAGATATTGCGTATAATTTCGAACTTTGGGGATTTGCCTAAGTTAGAGACGGTACTGAAATTGCATTGGAGAATGAAGCCAGCTTCCAAGTTCGATATGGTCTTTCTCTAGTTCACCATTCTGACCAACAAATATATATTTGTCACGGCATTGTTATCAAACACTTAGACTATGATTCTGATTGGATATGGTTTAGATGTGATAGCGAAGTAAGCCTATAAAAATACTTTCAGTATTACACGCTCGAGTTAGTGAAATGGCCTGGTGTGACTGCAACTTTACCTGTTCAAC